TCCTGGAGCAATCAGGATTAATGGAAAATGTCCTCTCACTCCTTTAGAGGTATATCTTTTGCTTTTGTGTAGTTCCTTCCCGTGTATTTAATTATGTAGTGACTATTTGTTCACAAACAATGAAAGAGCAGTAAGTTTTGCACAAATTCCAGTTAAGCAATTTTAGGTTTTGCATGAATTCAAGTTTAGCAGTATAAACTCCATATTGCTAGAAGTTTCATCAGGTGGTCAGTCAGCATCTTCATCTGTTTGTTATTTCATTTCCTGATAAAACAAATGATCATACCTTCAAAAGACAACTGGTGTAGCACAAATTATTTTTCTGTTTGAAAATATTTATTCCCAAGGATTCATAATATATATTAGTTGAATAGGTGAACTTATGGCCTCAGAATGGAGGGTTAACCCTCCCCTCCCTAGTCTTTTACCTGTTGTGCCATTTCTGTGTTTGAACCCAGCATATGAGGCACTTGCATTGCAAGGCAGCCTATGCCACTGTCCCATTGTGCCATATGCCAGCTGGGGTCCTCTAAATTGCTGTTTTGCAACACTGTTGTAACTGTGACCATTGTTTCTATCCTTCTCTTCAATTGTTTCTTTCACTTTAAGAAAGACTTTATGAGTTTTTAAATTTCTTTAAAATTCTAGAATATGAATATTTGATTATTTCTTTTTCTGTGTCATCTAATCAGGTTGGCTTGATGCTTAGGGGAATGGGATTTGATAAGAACACATTTATCTATTTGGCATCGGGAAAGATATACAATGCTGAGAAGACAATGGCCCCATTACTGGAAATGTTTCCTAATTTGCAGACAAAAGAGATGTTAGCATCAGATGAGGAGCTTGCTCCTTTCAAGGTCTTAATATTCTTAGTTCTGTTTCTTTTCTTCCATATTTGAGGTGTGGTATAATAACATTGTTCTGACTTGAGTTACTATTGCTAGAATTTTTCTTCCAGGATGGCTGCGACAGATTACACTGTATGTCTTCACAGTGAGGTATTTGTGACAACTCAAGGAGGGAACTTTCCCCATTTTCTCATGGGACACAGAAGATACTTGTATGGTGGACATTCCAAGACTATCAGACCCGACAAGCGGAAGTTAGCATTACTCTTTGATAATCCCAAAATTGGGTAGGTATACATGATCAATCCCAAAATTGGGTAGGTATACATGATCTTTACGGCTAGTTTAGTCTCATTGAAAAATGCATTTTTACACGTATTGAAATGGCTGGAAGGAGGTTACATTTGATGATATTTGTGTCAGACCTTAAATTATAGTCCTTTCTTTTATGGGTGTGTGGCTATAGGCAGGAAATGAGCAACGCCTTCTATGGTTTTGGCTAGAGAAGAAGAACAGAAGAAAATACCATATTATGGATTGTCATGTATTTGAGTTAATATGAACAAAAATGTCTGGGACACCAAACTACCCATTGTGATGCAAATTTCTGAACTTGAGCACTACCAAACTACCTTAGGAGTAACATCTCTTGGTTTTGTTGTTTATTCCCAGATGGAAGACTTTCAAGCGTCAACTGCTGGGTATGAGGTCCCATGGTGATTCAAAGGGCTTTGAGCTGAAGAGACCAAATGACTCAATATATACCTTCCCATGCCCAGATTGCATGTGCCGCTCAAACAAGACAGAGGATGCAAGAGCATTGTCCGCTACGTGATTTTGAATGAGGACGTTGTGATGGGTGTTCCCCATACCCTTGATTTTGTGAGGACACTTTACTGCTGACCCCCCTTTTGTGTTGCTATTCTTTCATTCTTTTTTCTGCCCCTGTCCAGCTATGGAGAGGGCATATACACCAATTTTGGGGGCTACAAGGAATTTATTGGAGGTCACAGTTACCTAATTATTTTCCCAGGATTGGATCGTGAGGAAGTTGCATAGTTTTTATATGATGCCAGAAGAGAAGATAGTGATACATCAATCCTTCTATCACAGGAGTTTCCCGGGCGTTGACTGAGGCATTGTTTCATATCTGCAGCTGCTGTATTTAACAAGCTGTGTACTGACAGATCGCATTCCTTCACAGCCTGCCTGCTTTTGCCATGTTTGTAGATTAGTTAGACTTTGATCTGCGAGTGCAAATAGGATCAGGTTGAATTTTTTGTACATTTATCCAAAGGTCAGGGTACTCAAATTTCATTTTTTCTTTTCCCACCTTACGAAGAGGTTACCTTAGTTACTGAAGCTCACAGGATACCTTTAATACTCCCATCAGTATATTCATTAATTTTTGTGATTTAGCGGGGGCAAGAATGTGATTATAGTTTGGCCGCAACGTTTTTGAAATTGTAATTTGTAGTGTTTCGTCTCAGTGGGCGTGGGCGTGGCCAGAAAACTTTTGCGTTGTTTTCTATCTTTGGCTTGGCTGTATTTATGTCCCGCCTTCGCCTTGTGTGTTAACATTCTGCGTGCGTTTTGATTGTTCTGAGAGCAAGCCAAATGGAGGGCCCTATCCGCCGCAAGGCTGCAGATGGTACAGCCCCAACTAAAAAAGCAACACTAATGATGATGATGGTGGGCTCTAAATGGCTCAGCCCACCGGAGGGTTGCAACCACACCCATATATATAGGAACTCGGTTGAAGCCACTGAAACCCGCAGGACCCACTTATTTTTGGACTATTGGCACGCGTGAACATAAAAAACTGATCTTCAATTGCGCATGACTTGCGGCTGCTCCATTACTCGCTGAATAAAGCCTTTTTTTAATTTTAATTTATTGTTTTCCAAATAACTGGCTGCTCCTAATCACTTCCATTGTTTTTTTGGTTTTGCAAATCAACGTCTCTTCTTTTATTGTTTTTTTTCTTTTTTTCTAATCACTTTTTTTCTTTCTTTCTAATTTACCATTTTTTCTTTCTTTCTAATTTACCATTTTTTCCATTTCACTCAAATTTAAACTCTCTTTTTTTTCTCCCCTATAAACACTTCTGCAAACAATGTCTATAAATCGAAATGTAGTTTCATAATCTCGTCAAAAAACATATATTTTTAGTTGAAATATTCATAAGAAAAAAATTAACAAAATATAAATATACATGAACAAAAAAAAAAAGAGTAAGGACTTAAATCAAATTTCATCATAAAAAGATTTAGAGCTCAAATATAGAGCCTACCATCATTATAGGAAATATACTTTTAGAGCCATGAATATTCATTTTGAGCTCTAAAAAGCACTCTATCCACTATATTTAGAACCCCCGCCATTGGGCTTGCCCTAGGGCAAAACATGATTTGATCCAATTGTGCTGTTGGTTGATATTTATTTGTTGTCCGCTTGTTTCAAAAATATCATAAGTCGACCTGATACACTATACAAATGATCATGTATATATGATAAGCACACTATAATTATAAACAATTGACTTAAATTATTATAATCATTTATAGTTTTGAGGCTTCACGATCTAAAAAGATGGGGAATGCTAGCAATCTTCTTTCTAACCTTCTTCCATTTCTGCCTGATATATGTCATTCTCCTTACACTTAAAACAATGTCATTGATATATTATACAAGCTAATTTTTGCTTTCCAAGTTTACCCTTATTAAATTTTTCCAAAAAATTTATCAACTTTCTTACCATCTTATTAATATTTTTCTAACGTCAATTATTTTTTTTTAAAGAAAATATCTGCTTTTAAGAGGAAATGTCCCTTTTTTTCTTTTTTCTTTTTAACACAAAGGGTTTAGATAGAAAAAAAAGAAGGGAGTTTCACTAAAACACCCAAAATTGGGGCTGGAATTATAAAAAAACCAAACACTTAAAACACTTTATAAACATACCCAAAACTCATCATTACACACACTCAAAACCCATTTATAAATACACCCAAAAAATATACAATTGTTGATTTTGGGTGTGTTTCTATGTTTAAATAGTATTTGAGTTTTTTTATAAATACATGTCTAGAATTGGGTTTATTTATAAATTTGTAAAAAAAAAAAAGTCCTTTGTGTTTTTAAAAAAGGGACATTTCCTCTAAATCATTTGTGTTTGAAAAAAGCAGACATTTTCTTTTAAAAAATAATTGACGTTTAAAAAAAAATTAATAAGATGGTAAGAAAGTTGTGAATTTTTTTTTGGATAAATTGAATACATTTAATAAGGGTAAACTTGGAAAGCAAAAGTTAACTTGTATAATATATTAATAACATTGTTTTAAGTGTAAGGAGAATGACACATGTCAAGCAAAAAAGGGAGAATGTCCAAAGGAGAAGGTTAGAGAAAAGGTTGCTAACATTCCTCAAAAAAGATTATTGATGGTTTTATTAGAGTGACTTTGAATAAATTCATGTTAGTTTTTGTTTTTGAATGCAAATGATAATTTAATGGGGATTCAAACTGAAGTGTAAGAGAGAGGGCGAGGGCTCACTGTCTTATTCAATGCTTAATTCATGTATGTAAGGCCATCTCCGACCCAAGGGGTGGAAACTCAAAATTTGAGTTTAGAGTCCAAAACTCATCTCCAACCCATGTATTTTGAGGGGTGGAATTTGGGGTGAAATACCAGTCCAAGTTTTGCCGCACTTTTGTTGCGCGACAAGTGGCAGCATCTGGAGAAAGAGACGTTGCAATCAAAAGGCCCAATTTGAAAGCTGAGTTTGTTTGTTTTTATTTTATTTTTAAATGCAACTGTTATATCCATATCAACGATTAGAATTAATTTTAGGCAATTTGAACCGTAAAATTTCACATCCATTGGCTCAAATTTCAATCCAACGGTCAAAATAATATTTATAATTAATCTAAATCAAATCTAACCTCAAAACTTATTCCAAACTCTATAAATAGCCATTCATTTGGTAAATAATCAACCAAAAATATTTTTTTTTCCTTTCTTCCTTTGGTAAATAGCCATTCATTTGGTGAATAAAAAGGTTGTTTTACTTTTTTTTTTTTTTAAAAAGTGAAATTTTATTATGTTTTGAAAATTTAAATTTTTTAGGTTAAAATGTGTAGAAAATTAAATCATGAACGTTGAGACAAAAATAATGTTAAAAAATTTAACAAGAAAAAAAAATTAGGGTTTAATAATTTTTAAACAATTTAATAAAGTTGCAGACTCAAATTATGAGTCTGCAAAGTTGGAGGGAAATTTTTTTTGAGCCATGAAAATACATGAATAGTTGTATTTTGAAGGGTGAAAATTTGAATTTAGCCCCGACACAGTTGGAGATGACCTAAACCAACAAAGATGTGATCCAGGTTAGTTTTATAATTGACTGAATAATCAAATAGGTTGCGTTGCCCTTTTATTAGAGTTTTTTTTATATAAAAAAAAATTAATAAAAGGAAAAAGGAACTGAAACGTGGCATTGCACCCTTTGACCTTAACAAATGGGAGTAAAATTGACAACCCCGCGAGAATATATGGATCCGGATCCTATTAATCCAACCTTTCAACGTTTCAATTCTAAAGAGAAGATAGAAACACACGGAGGACAGGACACAAATTACCTCTTTTGCCTTTCATAATCAGAATCAGAAGCAGAAGCCATGGGCATCGTCGGAAATCTCAGTCCAGACGAACTCCACTCCTTCAACTCCCAAGGTAAACACAACCAACTAACTCCTCCTAAATGTCCTAAGAAAGCATTGTTTTTGACTTTTTTTGACTTGGAAACATGTGTGTTGGGTTGCTAACTTGTTATATAATTTTATGATTGCAGGTTATTTTGTTATAGAATCGTTTGCCAGTGCGGAGGACATCGATGCCATGAGGAAGAGAATGGACCAATTGCTTCACGACTTCGACTGCTCCGCCACCGCCTCTATTTTCTCTACCAAGAATCAGGTGTCTTAATTGTTTGCTTTTATTATGTAGTTATTTATGTTTATCCGTAATTAAACTCGGTTCTTTTTCATTTTCAATTGTATTTTGCAGCAACAGTCGACGGACAATTACTTCTACGAAAGCGTCGAGAAGATTTCGTTTTTCTTCGAAGGTATACGACTATATGTTTCAATTTTCAACAACCCTGAATCATTTACTTCTTCAATTCCTGTATTTATGTCTTTCTTTTTATTTTGGTTCTTTCCGGAAAAAAGAAAGAAGATGATTTGTACACTTTTGAACACTTTTGTACAAGTGGAATTTGGTTCCAAAATAGTGAAATCGAACACTTTTGCAATTTGGTTAATCCATAATCTCTAGTTTGTGTTGTGCTAAATTGTTGGCACTTCTTGATTTTGGCAGAGAAAGCTTTTGGGAATGATGGAGAGCTACAACAGCCAAAGGAACTTTCCATTAATAAAGTTGGCCATGGTAAGCTCTGAATACCTCTGGATTAATAAAATTTTAAAAAATGAATTCTAGTTTTTTTCCATGCATTTGAAACTAAAACTGATTTTGTAAAGCACGTGCTCTTTGGTGCAGCGTTACATGAGCTCGATCCAGTATTTAAAGGTTTCTCCTATTCTGAGAAAGTTTCAAGTTTGTTCTCCTCCTTGGGTTATAAAAGGCCCATCATCATTCAGTCTATGTACATATTTAAGGTATGACATCTTCTTGTGTTTAAGGCCTAGTGGTGTCACATAATGTCCTTGTGAGGCTCTAGTACTTTTTAAATGCGAGTTGAGGTAGACCTGAGGTCTATTTGGCTGAGGAAAGGATTGGTTTTTGACAATTGGGCTAATTGGCTGAAAGAACCCTAAAAATATTGGATTCAATGCATTTAAAATGACTAGATACAATTTAACATTGGAACGGAGACTATGTATAACATATGTACACACTTATATGTGAACATATGTGTTTAAAAATTTACACATAGATATGCATGCACGCATTCAGAGGGGGAGGAAGGAGGTACAGACTTGATCGGCATACCTGCCCCACCCCTGTTAGAACAAGTTTTGTGTTCTTTTGTTAGGATGGGGTCTAGAATGGTATCAGTTATGTCTACAGAACTGTGAAATTAGCAATGTTATGATTTAAAACAGTAAAATGCAGACGGCTCTGCTAAATCTTAGTTGTATAATTTCAAATTTCATGATTTGTTGTGGTACATTGTTTTGTATGTTCATGAGTTTGGCTATGTTAATATGTCAATATTGGTTGTTTTTCTTCAGATATGCAAATTATCCTGAGTTTATTTGCAAACTAATGCACAAGAATGTTATTGGCAGCAACCAGGTATTGGA